TAATAGGGTAAATTTCTCTTCGGGTGTTGTATTCTGATCACCCATAATATAAAAAAAAACAACTAAAGTATGTATACGAACTCAAAATCCAACGAAATCTGTGAAGAAGGCCGAGAAAACGCATGCGAATTCGATTAGTTCCCAGGCCGTACGAGCGTTAAAAATGGCGTTACATCCCCGGCTATGATGCCCCGGCTATTTAAGTTAGTGTTAAACCCCCGGGTAGCAAACAAGCGACGTTTGTTAAAAGCCTGTATTTCCCCCGCAAAGTCCCGTTTAAACCCGGTATATCCCCGGGGGTGGGGGGGGGGGGGCAGGACTTCGATTGACTAGTGCATAATATGAACGCTTCTCGAAAGTCGAAACGCGAACTGATTGTCAAATCTCAAACGCGAGCAAGAGATAGCAGTTAAGTATTTACTCCTTGTAAATAATTTTTTGGCCGTTCTACCTACATGCAGGTTATGCGAAAAGCTTGATTTGTACACTGTTATTGTTGGCGCGAGAAAATATAACGAGAATAAATACAGACCGCCGTAGATTCTTTATTGCAACGGGTTTAACAGGACTACCGGCGCCTAGGCCTGTTAGCCGCTTCACGTTCTGAACTTTTTAAGGCTTTCTTTAAACACATGGCTTCGTTAGGGAGACGAGACAGTTTATATTGGCAACTGACGTTTTTATACAACAGTCTATTTGTTCGATACGTACACAGGCAACGCGTTTATGTCTCGTTTGATTTCAATTCGCTTGCGTTTCGGATCTTTCGCCCACACGGTTTACAAATTCGGTCGGATAGTTCCGAGGTAGAACTAACTTCGATTCCTAAATGAACTGAACACAATTCGTGATCGGCTTATTGATCGGCCAAAGGTTTTGCTACTGTCGTAATCGTTTCTTTTGCTTGCCTTAAATATAAAATTCTCCGACGATATATAAGATATTTTCTCTATTGCCCCCTGTTTTAGTTTCAAAGCACACTTAATACACAAACGACAGTGGTCATTTACATTTTCCGCGGTTTCTTTTCTACCTCTTGTCGTTATTCAGAGGTCCTGATTGAGACTTTCAATGGCGTTTCTTTCGACATATTTTATATTTGCAATTTTGCGACCAACAATAACATAGTTTGAGTGTTTGACAGTTTGATTATTAATATATATAGTGTTTGCTGATTGGCTAGTTGGACCCGGACAAAAAAGTGGGCGGTTATCAAATTACACTGCCAAACCCAGCAGGCGGTATTTTAGATCGCCTGCCATGCAGGCTATCGCTCGCTCGACCGGGAATTTAGAGATTAAATGCCCGCTCGTAACAATAGAATCCCGTCCAATCATGGTATTATTTAAGAAAAAGATGAATATGAATTTAGTAAAGTCAACTATAGGTGGGCAACAGTATTTGCCTGTGTTAATTAAACACCAATAGAGTTGAAGAGAACATAGATATGCTTCGAATGATTTTACTAATCGACCACAGACTCATATTATACAATGAACATTTGAACTGCTGAATTTCATAATTCCAAATGATCTCCTTTTCCCAGTTTTGGACAAGCTCAAGGCATATGGTGTGGAAGAGAATAGTTGCGCACTAATCAGGGACTATCTATCCGGAAAAAAACAAACAGTGACGATTGGAGACATCGTCCGTGCTTGGGCAGGCATTAAACGAGGAGTCCCTCAAGAGACTGTTTTGGGACCTATATTTTTTTATATATTTATTAACGACCTTTTCTTTCATGCATGTTCCATCATATCACACAAACCAAACTGAATGCGTAAATTGGGTATGCTGATTGTCATGAAAAATATCATTCTGACATTGATCCTGGATCTTTAAAAAAATGTAAATGCCACGACGTTCAAGTTTTGAGGTGGTTCATATTCTACAATGTGAACCTCCTCCATAAAATGTTGTATAATAGCCTTGATTTTGTGTTCATAATGATTTAACTTTATATTACTTACTTTACATTCTCTGAGAAATTGCCTTTGACCATGTAACTGATGTAAGGTACTCTAATATCAACCTCGTTCCAAGGATCTTCCATATCCTGGGAACGAGGTTGCTCTAAAATTCGAGGTAAAAGAAAGTATGTGCCACTCTCAATGAACGAAGTCGCGTACTTGTTAAATAGCCACACGTTTTTGTTATTTTTTTTCTGTCGTATTAACAACTCTAGTTCTTGTGGTCTATTCATTAGCATAATATATACTTGTAACAATCAGACTAATCAGTCAAAGCCATTCAGTTACTCTCTCATTGTCTCGTAGATTTATAATATTTCGTTATCAAGATGCAACGTATCGTTTTATTGCTGTGTCTTTTTATCCCTCTCTTGTCACGAAATTGCTTTGGAGTGGTGAAGTCAGAGAGCAATGAAATCGGCAAGTTGTTAAAGAACGGACAACCAGTCATGTTTGAGCTAACGATACCTTGCATTGAGAAAACAACAAGGGAGGTCGTTGAGAATACAACTCTTGGAATAAAACAGTTCTTCGCTTTCGCAACTTGCCAAATCAGTAATTCCGCTTCTGGTAGAGAACCTCCAAGGGTAATGGTGCACGACGATAACGAGGAGAATGTTAATATCGGAAAATCTGCCTCTGCCACAGACCTACGGTTCCGAGCCATGTTGCTCAACCAATTTCCAAATACAGTCTCGTACATGATTCTCGATCCGCAAAAAGGTCACTGGTTTTTTACCAGCGAACTCTCTGGATGTGATATTTTTATTGCTACGAAAGATTCCCAACCTAACATGCCAATGATCTTCCACGCAAACTTGGACGAACTGTATCTGACAGAACAACAAGTCCAAAATTTAAAATGGAAAGGCGATAAAGTAGATGAAATTCTTACGGCGTTCCAGATAAATTACGTCTTGAAAGTGCGTATTCACATTACACCAGAAGAGCCTATTCCCGTGAATTATAGTCAGTATTGGAATGATTATAAAACTGCTCATCAAGACCGTGTAAAAGTTTACCGGTATAGCATTGTCGCGCCAATTGTTCAGAAAATGCAGTTCTACGGACATTACAAAAATGGTTTATGGAGATTTTTCCTCAAAGGGAAAGAAAACGGCGTAAAGACACTAGATATTTCTGTTTGAGTGCAAGTCTAGTTATCTCTTTTAAATGAAAGGAATGTTAAATATAATTTTCTTGCATCGTTTAATGAAACGTGTTTTTCATTTGCATACAGTATTTACCTCTATCATAATGATTTGGAATGTTTTGTGTCAATTTGCTTAAATAAAAGTGATCGATTAAGGCCCGCGTTCACGGTAAAGAAATAAAAAATCACAATTGAAATTACATTAAAAAACGAAAATCACAAAAAATCACATGATTCTCCATATATATTTTTAGGAGTGATTTGCCGCAGGCCTTTACACTTTGACGTCTATTACCTGCCGTAGTATCAGAGGCTGATTGCGGGAAAGGGTAGGCTATAATTGAAGTTAATTACAGTTAGTGCGAAAGTTAACGTTTCATTCGCTCTACTTTCGTATCGAGCACTCTATTCGCAAGTGGTCGAACAAGGCTGGCGTTGACGGTAAAGAAATAAAAAGTCACAAAGAATTTACATTAAAGAAACAAAAGTCACAAAAAAATCACATGATTTTTTAATCTCCATATACATTTTTATGAGTGATTTGCCGTGGCCTTGAAAGCGCTCTCCCCTAGACCTACATATAGTGCTTGTATTTTTATATTTCAGTGCTTTTACACTTTGACGTCGATTATAATTAAGCCGTGATATCATGTGGGGGCTGGTTGAACGAAAGGGTATAATTGTAATTGAAGTTAATTACAGTGCGAAAGTTAACGAATCAAAGTTGCCTATTTTAGAGTTACCTATACTATTTAAGGACAAAATAGTAGTTAAAAGGTAGTAAAGAGTTTTGTATAACCGGCCTCAAGTCTGTTGAGGATAATATAACGAGATCTTGCCTAGACCTACAGTATATAGCGCTTTTACACAGAGCAGACTGGGACCAGGCAATTTGGGGCGGGAATAAGTAGATTTCCCAATGAAAATGACGAAAACGGCCCCTAAACTGTCCCGTTTCGATGTAGTCAACTTTAGCTTTCCCAAACCAAATTTGTGGCAATTTTAGAGCGACTTTAAACCATATACATTTATTTGTTATATGGCAAGTCGGTCCATCTGCAAAACGCAGCATATTGATTGGTTCTGAGCGGTCGCGGTAACCTGCTGCTTTTGCACTTCATTTTTGGTTTATTCTTTCATGCTTTCCAATGATGTTTGGATTTAAACGGCGCTCTATAATTCTGTTCAGATTATTTTATGCCAAGAAACCGGAGACAAACCAAGAAATACTGAAAAACCAAGACGGTGCATTGTGGTGTTATAATGCACGCGCATTAGCCAATCACATTACCTGTTATATAATATCCTACTTTTATTGTAATTTTTGCATATCAAATGAGCTTTCGCGCGTTCTGATTGGCTAGTTGACCAGTAAATCTGAGGCATTATTTACCACTTGGGTAGTAAATAATGCTTTTCAAAAAGAATGATTCGGCAAATTTGGTTTCAAAATCGACAAAATATTGAACAAATCGGTCCCAGAAAACGAAAGAAGCACAAAATGTTGTATTTAATTACTTGAATGGTAGAATTCCTTTATTATTTTACTGTGTCGAACATATTAACGGACAATTTAAAACTTATTTAAAACTCCGAAACATTCACTTCAAACAAATAGCAAAAACCATCCCGAAAACCATGTTTTCATT